TGTGTAAAGCATATTTCTCAAATACAACATGGGAGGTACGCATGTGCTTGAAATCGTGTGTAAGAAGTTTGCTTATATAAAGTTTTATAGCGATACATTGTTGGTATTCCGATCAGAAGCCATACCGTAAGTGCACCATGGCGTATGATTTTTCGCTGAAACCGTGTGCAGAAGAGAAGCTTAAGCGTGTATATAGTCTATCAGCGTGTATTACATTTATAAAGGGTGTTTAAATATAATTTTTAAAAATATAAATATAACATTTATGTATTTGTTTTTGAATTTATCTATTTGTGTTTAATTTTGCTACTTAATTTCCAAATATAATTTTGATATATTTTATTTCGGAAAGTTGCAATGTTGAGCCTGAAGCATTACAAATAAATTACTAAAAAAAAACAAAATATGTTGAAATATTTAACTATTCTAAACGTGCACCCTTTATAAACAGATGCATACGCTTTCAATATTATTCCGAGTGAAAAATATTTCAGTTGAATGCAAAATTTGGCAGAATTTCGTAATATAGCTTTCTTTATCGCGAATTTTTGCTTTTAGCTGCACATATACATATCTATGATTCTCATATTTGATTGTATAGCTCAGCGACTCAACCAATGCTTTTCTACGAAATCTTACGTCAGCTGCCCTCGCCGTTCTACTTTTGTGATGCTGCTTATTGGTATCCATCATTTATTTCCATTTATTTGCTTGAAGTGTTAGCTATTTGTTTGATTTATGTTTCAGCATTGTTGCTGGGTCTTTAGCACTGTTTTCGCTTAAGTTTTTTTTTTTTTGTGGCAAATACCTAATGTGTTTTTACAAAAACGAGTTAAGTGGCAAATGTTAGACATAAAGATTTTAGCTGAATTGTTAGACATATCTGACAAATCGGCATTAGTCACTTCTAGGCTAGAAATTGAGCAGTTGCCATATTAAACTCCATTTAGCAGCATATTATATTACTTTTATATCATTGTAGTACCAAAAAGTATAGCTAGCAACAAAGATATTCAATTGACCTTTTCAAAGACTTCATTCTTATCTAAGTATCATTCTTATCTCCAAGTAATTTTCACTTTTTAAACTATAAAATAAAAAAAATAAATAAAAACAAGAAGAAACGGCAACTTCGGTTGCCATACACTCTTCGCGAAAGCTATAATACCTCTCACATATACAAAACTTCCTTAGAAGAAATTTGATTGGTCAGTTCGTACTGCATCTAGTATAAGCGACTCCATCTGAATAATTTGTTCGGAGATTGTACCGTTGCCTTAAGCAATTATTCATGTAATATTTCGTGAAGTAATCGCATCAAATAAAAAAGTTTTACATAGACACACTTGGTTCCAATCGTTCAGTTTGTATGGAAGCTCTATGCTATAGCAATCCGATCTAAACAATTTCTTCGGAGAATGCATAACTGCATCAGGTAATAATCCATTCTTAATTTCTTGAAGATATCTCGTCAAATTCCTTAAAAGCTCTTTAGTTCTATCGTTCAGCTTTTAGCAATACGCTGAAGTGTTCCGATATCGGCAAATCCGACAATTGAGTAGATTTTTGGAGAGAAAGGAACGTGTGGAATATTTCTGATCGATATCTTAAAAACTGAGGGACTATATATAGAGACAAACGGACGGGCGGAAAGACAGGTGGATATAGCCACTTCGACTCACCTCGTCACACTGATCATGTAGATATATATTTTATGAGGTGTCCGATGTTTCATTCTGAGTTACAAGTTTCGTGGCAAACTTAATATTCCCGCTTTGGGGTGTAATGTGGTTATTAAAACTAAAATCGATTTTCAGCTATTACTCTTTTACAAGTGAAGGTGTAATAGGATACGTTTTTTTTTCAAAAGAAACTCATGAACGTCTTATACTTTTAAATTGAAACAAACCACGAGTTGTATATTATGAATTTAATTCGCTATAAATATTCGTTAAAAAATAATTTTTAAAAAAGCTACTTAATACATATAACCTCACTAAAATTTTTTTCATTAAATTTTATATTAAGGGTTTACTCTTTACGCAATCCAAAAGTATCGCCAACTACATAAGCACGTACGAAAATAAAGAAATATTGGTGTGCCGTGGCGTATGAGTAACTTTTAAATTAATGTGAAAAGTAAAAGTGGACTTCTAATAAACCGCTCATAGCGTCGCAACTGTCGCCTTAGCAAAATTCATAAAATTTTTATGTCACTTTCAGTTTGCGCCACCCTTACCACTGCTTTCGGTCAGTTCACGTTTGCAACACTTCAGAGGCTATAAAACATTTTGAAATGAAAGCGCTATGTATGTATTGTGAAAAATGTTGGCACGCCAAAAGGTTATGTGTGCACAGCAATTTCCGGCCTTTGTTGTTGAGCGCAGTGGGGCTTGCACTCATCGCACTCAACTCGCAACTCCACATCGCTTAGCTTAGCTCAGCTTTCGCTTGTCCGCCACAATAAATCTCGACAATGTGCACAATTTAGCATTTTACAATGCGTCACTTGTTGTAAAACAAGCGTTTGGGTATGCACTCTACACTTTGCTTTATGTTGCTTGCAAGTATTTGTATGTACATATGTGTAAGCGTTTAGGCCATCGAAGTAACGCAATTAGTGCAACACTGTCCAATGCCATGCGCTATTAGGTGTTTTGTTTTTGTGCGATCGCATAGCGGAGACAGCAATAATTTCTGCATATGATTGGGTATGTGTATGTTCATTTGTGTCTATTTGTAGGGCAAAATGTAACCGTTTTGGTGTACACGTATGTATATATTGGTGTTGGTATGCATAAATTGAAATCAATTGAAGTCTAGCCATTGTTTCCAACGCATAAACACATACATACATGCAAGTGAAGTGACGTTCGTTGGGCGGCGTCAATTATCATAAATAGACATTTGGTTGCATATTTGATATTTGTCCAATTTGTAGCTATAAATGTTCGCCTGGCTTACGCTGCCATAATTTATGCACTTTAATATGCTTTGTTGCGCTAATAAAATAAATTTTACTTCAGACATCCTTTCAGTTTCATATGCAGTAAATCAATATTTATAGCAGTTATAAATAGTCGTTTAAAGTTAATATTATGCTGTTATACAAGAGTCGGCTGAAGCTAGTGAAAATTTATTTTATTGCTACGAGAAGCTTAAATTGCCATAAAGGGTATGAAAGCTGAACTAATGTTTCTTAATAATGAAATATTTTGTAATTTTGGGTTGTGCACGCATTACAAATTCAATAATAAATTCCGTGCAAATTTTGCATTTTTTGTTTTTATGTGGCGCTATTTAAAACTTAACGAAAAATAAACATGTAAATTTAAGTAGTATACGTATTAATTTTTTAAATAAAATATAACTGTAATATAGTTATTTGAAACACAATTCGTTTATATTTAAAGTTCATTTATTGGCGCCGAAATTTTCTGACTCTGTTTTGTCAAGTTCATGAGGGGTGGTAAGTGATAAATAACAAAGCTGGGAGCACTAATTTCACAATTAGACAGACGTTTAGTGTGCAACTAAAACAAATCAATTTTTTTTTTTGTTTTTCATTTTTATAGAATATACCTTTAAGAACAACATTTTTTTATTTTAAAACAATATCTCAAATAATTTTTAGTTACAGCCTTCTAAGGTGTAGCCGCTCAGTAAAATCAACGCCATCAGTTTGGCTTTAAAGACGTTTATCTCAAATTTGTTTGAGTGATTACTCGTTAACAAATGGCCCGATCGCTATTAAATTTGTGTGCATATTCTAAATATATATAGTCCACAATACATTGACCTACGAATTTTTTTATCTGATCAAAAATTATATTTTGGTAGGCTATAAAGAACCCAAAATTGGGATGAAACTAAACTTGTTTTTAAAACGCTGGCATTTAATATTTTCACGAAATTTGGCGTGATTTATTTTTTAAGATAACAGTGCACGATCCGAAGAAATTGTTCAGATCCGATTGTTATTGCATATAGCTGCTGTACAAACTGCCCGAACATCGAACTCATGTTCTTGTATGGAAAACGTTTTTTATTTGTCGCGGTGTCTTCACGAAATTTGGCATAGATTATTATCCAAGAAAACGGTATAATCTCTGCAGAAATTGCTTAGATCGAGTCACTATAACATGCGGCTACCACAGAAACTGAATGATCAAAACCAAGTTCTTGTATGAAACTTTTTTCCAATAATCGTAATTTAGGCTGTGATATAATATGACCATACATAAACTTGAGGAGCTTATCCGGATTTTGTGCAAAGCAGAGTAATTCAGAGCATTCGTAAAGAGTTTGCAAAATTCTTTACAGGTTTTATGAGCAAACGAAAGCCTTTAAAAAGTTCAACAAACGGTCTTAGATAACCGTAAAATGTGTTTGATAGATATGGCTGATATTTTAAGCGCATCAAAGAAACATGAGAGATATATATATCGTTGACACATATTTGTGACTGCTAAAGCTCTTCGCAAAGTGAATTAATGACTCCGAAAACTGTTCATCGATATGTGCCTATCGATGAAATGTCATCATTGCACTCTTTATGAAAAGGTATACGATTTCTGTTGCAGTCACAATTTAATTAATTCTCCAGCAAATGACAAGCTTAACGCATACTATAATAATGAAGAGATAGCGAGAGCTTGCAGCAATACAAAGAGAAGTTGTCTAAGAAATCAGGTGCGCTGCAAACTAGCAAAACTGACAGCTTCATTGCGCGCACATAAATAAGCATGAGCGCTTCAGATACATGCGCTAATTTATGGATTTCTTTTTTCACTTCAACCACTGAAGACAAATAGCTTCGCCGTCATTACAGCAACAACAGTGGCTATTAGCCACACTTGTGCGTATGTGTGTGTGAGAGTTGCAGGCTGCAAGCAATTTAAATGTCATTCAAGTTACTGGCGCTAAAAGTTTATTTCATTCCGCCTTAGTTTCGCAAATTATGTATTTATTAATGTATTCAACATGCACTTTTCACTTACCTATGCTAAGCAGCGAGAAAATGACAGCTGGTAGCAGCTGTTGCCACATTGGCGCGCGCACGTCTGGCTGGCGCGAATGCATGCTGTCTACCGCTGCACTGCCGCTCTGCCGGTGTTTGTGTGTGTGTGTGTTAGTTAATGCAACGGTTACTGCTGCTACTACTACTGACGCTGCTGTGGCGCCTTGGTATTCACAATTTCACAAAATTTCTTTTATAACGGACGCTGGCGCGCAGCTAACGCTCTGCTTTACTGTTGCTTGGCACTTTCGATATATATATATATTTTTATGTGTTTTTTCAGGCTTACTTTGTCCTTCTACTTTACGCCACTGTTGCACTCACTCAGTTGTGTTTGTGTAATGGACATAGTTGTCGTTGTTGTTATTGGCGTTGGGACTGGGAAATAGTTGTATTCGCATTGCGGATTTCTGCACTAAATTCTTCTCTATTCACACGGAAATAACGTCAACTCCCCGCACCTCAGTTCATTGCACTGTGCTGCCGCTGAATATGCTGCATGCTCACGCTATGTGCCACCAACTGACAGTCTAGGCTGTTGTTGCAACAATAGCTGTCACAATCTGCAAACGCTGACGCCAGTGGGGTTAACAATGATTTGTTGTTGTTATTCTTATTATTATTACTAGTATTCTTGTTATTCTTATTGTTTTTGTTATTATTGTTATTAATGTTGCTTTTGTTGAGGGTGCGAAAGTAATTATTATGATGACTGTCAGCCTTACTTATCACTATCATGCTGCCACTGTCAGTTTGAATATTTTTCACGTCAGCATAATGCCGTTTTGTTATAGTATTTTATTTATTACGGTATATGTGTGTGTGTGTGTGCGCGCATTTATTTTAGTTCATTTTATTGCTGCACAGTCTATTTGTGCCACTTCCTTTTCGAAAAAGCTGAATCTACAGCCCATAAATAATGTGTCATAAAAATTGAAACAATAACAAAATATTTGTATAAAATTATATTGCACAATTTTATTGACCCAGTGAATGGGCTGTAAGACCTGTGCGCCGCTTCGCGCTCTAGCAGCGTTGTAGACGGCCTGCTTTACGATTGTTTTATGTTTTACGAATTTTCAGTGGCACTTCAGTGCGCTTGGCTCACTTGTTTTTTTTTTGCAACAAATCTTTCTGTGTGTGCGTGTATGACAGTTGGCAAGCGTCACTTTAGGCTTCTACACGCACACCCCCTCGTCGTTGTAGATTGCGTCGATAGTCGCACAAATAAACTGACTTCAAGTTTTATTGCGCGCTGCTCATAGTTTGACTGCCACTTTGCCACTTCGCCACTTTTATGGCTTTCGTGTTCGTTGGTGCGCTCAAGTGTTGTTGCTGTGTTTTTAAACTTTGTTATTTGGCGCTTGCTGTATTTGCACCGCTTTTGTTCGAAAAGCTCTTTTTATTGGTGTTTTAGTTGTTAGCTTAGTTTTTGTTGTTTTTGTAGTTGTTTCTTATTGTTTTTCGCTATTTGCTTTGCACACTTTGGCCTTTTCAGTTCATTTACGTAGCTAATGTAGATATCCTTGCTACGATTATCGATAAGTTTTTCTTGGTCCTGCCGGATTAGCCTGTCGCTGCATGCATACACATTTATATATATTTCTACATATATTTTCGTACATATGCTATGTTTGTAAGTACACTCACTCCACTATTTATTTATATTTGTACACTTCACTTGGCCGCACCACTTTTTTACTTTTGAATTGTTCGGTCATTCAACATTGCTTGTGCCTTTTTTGCCGCTTGGCTGCGTTGTCGTTATGTTTGCGCCTCTTATTTATATTTGCTCCAGTTTCACCATTCGCTTTCGCACCACAACAATGGCACTATGCTGCCATTCTATCGTTTTAGCATTCTCTCAAAGGACTTGCGATTTATTGTTATGGTTCATTTGCTTATTTGCTCTCCGAATTTATCTACAAAGAAAGCGTGAGAGTGAAGAAAAGAAAAACAAGAAATGTTAGCTTCATTTTAGCGGAAAGGTAAGAATAAACAATAAGTGTTTGTTTAATAATAAATGGTTGTGCTTTTGTTGAGCTAAGCAAACAGGAATTTAGTGCCTATTTACTCGGCAGTCCTTATGGATTGCCATGATTGATTAAGCCCTGCCTTTGCCTATCTATGTAAATCATAAATATTGTTTTTTTATGAGATTTATTGTTAAACCTATTCAGGTGGTAAGTATCTGGTTTATATTAAGCATATAAAATGCAGCTGGTTAAGAGTTTTTTAAGTGTATGCATATTTGTCCTATTGGGACTTATTTAAAATATTAAAGTACATGGCAATAAATCTGCATGAATTATTTACTCTTCGCATTCACTCGCTAAGGGTATCATTAAAATGTCACATGATTTCTTAAAATGTATTCTTATTTAAATAATTTTGTGGAATACAGACTCTTTTAGCATTAAACTAAAGGAGCTGCAAGCTTTGGATTATATTAAAAAGCCGCCTTCTGATAGAATTGAATATTTTCTCTACACCCGTTTAGTTTTAGAGCTTAACGATTGTTGAATTCGCTGGCCTTTTATGGTTCGACGAGTGTTGACCAGCTACCCTGAGCGGATATTTTAGCTTGTATATTTAGGTATAACGAGAAGTCAAAAGCAGCCGTAGTTTTTGGGTTTTTCTTTTGCAAGCAACATTTTTGCGAGCTCTAATCGATATATGTTACTCATACGCACTGTCCAATCTTTTTGATGAAATTAATAGTTTTTATTATTGTTGGAATCAGAAGTTAAATTAATTTTTCATTTAAATATTATTGATATCAATATGCAAAGCCTGAAGTTTAATTGATATATTAACGAGCAACAAAAAATTGCTTTCTTTTCAAGCTTAGTTAAAAGCATAGTATTTAGTTTTTAAAATTTAAAAAAGAAAAAAAATTATAAAACCTGTAATTATGAATTTAAAACAAAAACACAAGCAAAGACTTTAACTTAGAGTTGAAATACTTTTTGGAAATAAATAAGTTTCCATGCAAGAGTTGGATTTTGACCGTTCAATTTGTATGGCAGCTATATGATATAGCGGTCTGATTTGGAAATTTGTTTCAAAAATTTTAGCGCTACATCGGACAACAATCCTTGCTGAGTTTCCTTACGATATCTCGTCAAATAGAAAAGTTTTTCATACAAGCACTTGATTCCGATCGCTCAGTTTGTATGGCAATTATATGCTAAAGTGGTCCGATATCGGCGGTTCCGACACATGAGCCGCTACTTGGAGAGATAGGAACTTGTAGAAAATTTCATATGGATATATACAGATACTTTATGCTGCTTTCACTCTTCATACATCTTGTCCTTATCACTGACCACAGGACACACCTACACATTTAAACCAAATTTGCATACATTTGCATATGGTTGGTTGGTTGAAAAGGTTGGTGCATGAGTGCCAGAGCGCAGACAGCATCTACCTAGTTAAAAAACCGAATATACATGTTCCACCGAAAAAAACCAAAAAAAAAAAAAAACGAAATGTTGCACAAACAGCAAGCACAAAAACAAATATGAACTAAATAATAACAATTTGCTTTACTTTGTACTAAAACAAATTTTCGCAACTGGAGGCCAAGTTGGCCGACAGACGTTGCACGGCGCACACAAGCCAACCAACTGAGTATATACAGAAATGTCAGCTGGAAATTGCGTTTATTCATACGGACAAGTAATCTGTTGTGTAATGTCTTTAGTTGTGTCAACTTTCGTTTAAGTAAAGACGAAATAATTCTACAAGTGAAAGTTTTGAAATAACATTAAGATAAATTTCCCCGGGGAAGCAGAGAAACAAGGCAAGGCTGCGGTGTAGGCGACTAAGTCTGCACACTAACACAAACACTTATATGTACATATGTGCATATATAGCTCTGGGGAAAAAGTGCGTTTTCGAAAGCGTTCGTCTCTAATTCTATAGGCTCAAGCGTGTATATTTACTGAGCGTAGACAACAATAGCAGCAGCGAAAGACGACAAGAGGATGTCAACACTTTAAGCTGTGGGAGTGCGCAGCAATGTGCCGCTGGCGGTTATCAGGGGACGTGTGTGTATGTAAGTAACACTCAGACCTAAAGCAAGTGATAATCGAAAACAAGCACAGGCAATTTTATCACTTTTAAGCGCACGCACACACACGCTTAGCATAAACATATTTATCTTTCGCATGTAATAAAGTGTGTAGTAAAATGAAAGTTTAGCCGCATGTATGTGTGTGTGTGTTTGTCTGTAGGTTGCGGCAGTTCATATTTAACATTGTTGTGCGCATACTTTGCCGAAACTCACGCCTAATCGTCTACACACTGTGGATTTCACTTCAATTTATGTGTGTTTTCAGATATTTTAATTAAATAAGTGTAAAAAATTATGGAACTTGGAAGCGCGACACGAGCGTTTAAAGAAACTTGTACAGTAAAATTTCGAAAAGCTGATTTTCAAGCATATTTTGTAGTCAATAAGTAATTTTATGTGTACCCAATGAGCAACTAATTCCGTTAATAATAATAGTAATAATCCAACGATTACCCTCCTCCCGCCCCACCGACGCGAGGGGCGCAATCCGTATACGTGTGGAATTAGCCGAGTCAGAAAAGGCAAGCGAGTTTTTTAAGTGTTGAGATCTAAAATTGCTCAGCTACAGAAGCAAAAATTTTCAACAGCTAAGACTTATAGTTACGATACAATAAATGTTTACATTTTCATTTATTAAGGGAAAACTATAGAGTCTTTTCAATTTCTGCAGCGAGTCAAGTAAGTCAAATGTGCTGGAGTGAGAATTAAAATCATGACATGTACGGCGGAATGGTTCGTTCAGTTCGAAATTTGATCTACTGCTTCGAAAAGCGAACCGGGATATAAAATTTAATTTCAGACAGGTGAAAAGAACTGCAAACTGTTCCATTCAAGATTTTCACTAAGAATACTATGCCAAGCATTTACCTACGACTAGAAAGTGTAGGTAGATTTATAAGTTTTAAACAACTAGTGTATGGAGGTAGACTTACCCTAGAATCCCATCGGAAAAGCCCTCAGGGTGAAAAGTGAAAATTATTTTTGAACAGAATTTAACTTGTCAGAATGGATTTGGTAGCTAGGGTTTCATACAACAGAGCCGTATTCCAATATAGGTCTAACCAAAGTTGTAGGAAATATTTTAGTAATATACGGATCTCTAAATTCTTTAGACCAACGTTTAATAAAACTGAGGACAACTTTGCTTTTAAGACCATGGTGTCAATATGAAGACAAAAATTATGCTTAGAGTCCATATTGACTCCCAAATCAACATAGTTAAAAACGTGCTGTAGGCTATGGTGCTGTATTACATAAGGAGAGGGCTGCATTTATTGATATTAAATGGCAAATTATTTCTATCACACCATGCAACCAAATTGTTTACATCTGCTTGCAACAGACACCTTTTCTCAGTTGAAGTGTACGGTTAAAAAAGCTTTACGTCGTCACCGTATAATAAAAGATATGCCAAATCTATTAAGTAAGATATATATTTATGAAAAATATAATACGAAAAAAACTTGTACAAAATGAAAAAGTAATATCAAAAACCACAGCAAACTGCGCGCTATCATTTGTATAATTTTTTTTTGTCGAACTAAGCAAATTGCCTCAAGATTGTAATTACCAACATTTTTGGCTCATGTGACATCGCAAATATTTGCTTACTAAGTTCTGTTGTTGTGTGTGTATGTATGCGGAAGTGTCAAAGAGTTAAAACGCAAATAGCTGTGTTAGAATTGTTTACAACAATATACAACCAAGAAAGGCAGCAGCAGTGTTAGCGGAAGTTTGGCAGGTTGGCAACATTTTCATTGTATAATTTTTAATGGTCTGCCATTGTGGTTTCTTAACGCGTTTTTATGTGCTATTCTACTTTTGTGTAAATATTTTAAATGCGCATTAGTTTATGAACAGCGTGGCAAAATGCTTTGTTTACATATGCTCATCTAAGTTCAAGACTTCTTTGTAAAAAAGAATGAAACTAAAAAATAAAATTTCATTGATATCACGTCTAAAACGTGAATCTTAACTTTAAGCTTAAATTTAAGTTTATATAAAATTATTTTAATTGATGGCAGTCACTTATAGTAAGCGCTTCATGCTTGCCTTTCTTATATATTTTATGCTTTATGACATTTTTGTTTTCATAGGTTTCATCGGAAATAATTTTTGAAAATATATTTATATACTACCGAAATATTAACCACATTTGTTGTAAATTTTAAATACTTTTTTGGCGTAAGCATTGGTAGCTCATCTTTGAGGTATTTATATTTTAATAGTAAACTCATTTCTACCTGAATTTTTGTTCTTAAATATTAAAATATTTTCATTCTACATCATACATCTAGGGTGACGGTGCGTATGAGTAACATTTGCGTGAAATATATTATGCATGCAAAAAGAAGGGAAAATATAAACTTAAAAAGCTTTAAAGCGATTATAAAATATTTCAAAATATATATTCAGTATTTAGAGTATACTCATGTACGCGTATGTGACTAAATAAAGAAAAATTTATTTAAATTTTTGTTAAAACTTAGGAATAAAACTGAGCAGAATAATAACTAAAATAATATATAAATTTTTAAAATATCCCTATCGTCCTTAAATTAATAAAAAACGTATGCAGACAAGCGCTGAAATGTCCAAAGAATTAAATTGTATTTAAATATGCATAAACACTTTCAACAGTTAATATTACTGTGCCTTTTAGTTTACTCTAACATATATAAGCATTTTAAGCATCTATATATACCCACATTTAAAAAGATTTCCAAACGCCTGCGCTTTGTCTCACTACAAACGTGCATATCACATATATATGTGTATGTATATATACTTGCTTATGCATATAGAATCACACACAATGAATTTATTATTTATTCAGCAGAG